GGTGGAAAATGATAAATTTTTTGGGGGAGTTTCTCAGATTTACATGGATTTGAATGTTGCAGATCTGGGATTTCTAGTAGTTTTAGGATTTAGTCCAAGCTTGAATGATGTAATGTGATGAGAGTGGTGAGGGCTGATGTGATGTAGACAGTTACGCCCAATATTCCTGAAGGAAACACAATATTTTTGAAAAGTAAAGCAAGAGTAAATACCTAACCCTAATCCAGCCACATTCCCATTTAATATTTCCTGATTCATTTTCACCACTTTTTTCTGTGAAATCAGCTTTCAGTGTGTAAAAGTTCAAAAGATAATATTAGGTAAGATAAGATGTAAGAAAAGATATAAGATATTAGATACGATATATTCTCAAAGAAATTGCGTTTTTTAATTGCTTATAGGAGATAGATTGAAGTATTTTTATTTGAATGACAATATATACACTACCGTTCAAAAGTTTGGGGTCACCCAAGTGTTTTCCATGAAAAGTCACACTTATTCACCACCATACGTTGTGAAATGAATAGAAAATAGAGTCAAGACATTGACAAGGTTAGAAATAATGATTTGTATTTGAAATAAGATTTGTTTTACATCCAACTTTGCTTTCCTCAAAGAATCCTCCATTTGCAGCAATTACAACATTGCACCAAAAACCAGACATTTGCAGCTAGAATAGTCATTTACCATATACGCAATGTATAGAGTGTATTTCTTTACAGTTAAGACTAGTTTAAAGTTATCTACAGCTTTTACTTCAAAAATAAGGACATTTCAATGTGACCCCAAACTTTTGAACGGTAGTGTATATTCTCTTTTTCCTTTGGCCTCTTCTGCAAACCCACAGCTTCTACAACATGTGTTTGCCTTTTGACTCTAATTCTATTTATACGAGCCACGTCTCTTTAGAACAAATTCGTTTAAAGACCAAATTGTTTATGATTGTCAAAGTTCTGACAGCTGTGAATAATCTCATTAGAACAAGCACTTAATTGTAGATGGAAAATTAATTCGGTAAAAATGTGTGTCATTGTAGCAAATGCGTGCTCGTACGCTTCCACCTGCGGCCCTGAACGCATCACAAACCCACCACTTCCGTTACGTAATTTAAAGCATTTGTTTAGTTCAACATTGTCGTGGCGAGTTTGGAAAGCCCTAAATGTGCGTTGACTGTGGCGCTCTGATTACCATTTAGACGAGAGAGTGAGGAACAAACAGGGTTCCTACAGTGCAGCTAAACAGATCCTGATTGGTTATTAATTAAGCGGCCAATTTAACGCTTATCTCTTCGCATTTACATTTTAATCAGTTAACGGTCGACTGCCGAGGAGAAGATCTGCTGAATTTGGGGAAAAGGTTAAATGCAAACAGAGACATGAGGACTTTGTTGCTGTTGTTGTTGTTATGTGCTTAATATTGACTAACGGAGCTCCTCATTACGTGTAAATAATGTATACTGTACATATTCATGAATGTGTTTATTTTTAATTGTCAAAATCAGATAATTTTTGCCACCAGCTGTGAAAAAAGTCAATTGTTATGGTGCTGTGCTGGATGAATGAGAGCAGAAGAACTCGTATTGTTGTAATTTATCATTGGTTTTCTAACAAATAACACACCATAATAATAATACTCTCTCAAAGTTGCTGATCCAATTCTTTACACGGAAAAAAGTTAAATATTTGTACGATTTATTGACTAAAAGTAACATAAATTATACTCTTTTTATGGCAAGTTTTTTGTTGTTGCTTGAATGTAGTCGGTCGTGTAAGATTATTTTACTAGTTTTAAGTTTCATAATTTTATCGGAGAGAAAAGTCTGAGCAGTGAGTTTTTAATTCTTGTTTAAAGTTTTTTTATTGTATTTCCAGACAACTTTTCTTGTTGTTTAGATAAAATAGGTATGTTGTTATACTATATTTTGAGAAATAAATAAATATCAATGTATGTTTTTCATACTAGAATCAAGTCATTTGGGGCTGGTAATATTTTTTTATTTTCAGAAATCTTGTCAAGTTATATTTTCTTGTTCTATTGCCAGATATTTTTCTTATTTTATGCAGTATTGTACTTTTCTATATGTTTCTCTTGTTATTTTCAAAGGATTTTTTCCCAGTGTACCACTTTACACTGATTACGGCGCACTGTTATTTACCACAGTTTCTGAGTTGTCGCTTATTTCAAACTTAAAACTCAATTTTTATTTGACAAAAAAAAGTCTACAGTAAAGAGAGAAAAGAGTAAATATGTTAAAGCTGAGGTACCTGACTTTCACCTGACACGAATGAAACCATGTACCATAATACAGAACCGGGGACAGGATCGACGAGACGTTTTCCTGTTTTTTGAGACAAAATATATCATGTACAAATAAGTAATACTATCCTATCTAACTCACTCTCAAAACAATTTATTTCTATCACTTTTGGGCTCCGACACATTTTTAGATCAGCTTGTTCACTGTAAAAAAACTAAAAAAAGAACCATTGTATCTCAGCTAATCAGCTTTCAGCCCAAACCGTCAAAAGGCAGTACAATTAAAAACAGGTTTTTGATTTTATATATTTGATTTTTCACACTATTCTACTTGTCCACGACTCTATTGTGCATTTATTGTTGAAATCAAAAAGTTAGGCACCCCAGCCTTTACATGTCCCAGTTTTAAGGTGTGAAATTCTCCTCAGCCACGCAGTTCATTTACTCGCTAAAACTCATTCTTATTCCCTCTTGATGCTCTGCGGTCTACGAACTGTGCTCTACATTCAGAAACAAGTCATTCTCCCACTTCAGGGTCATCTTGTGTTTTGTGAAGTCTGCAGAGCGGCTGAATACGTGAAAATATATGAGAATATTCACACAAGTCATATCAATAATCAATAATAACAACACAAACTGGATCAAACAACGTCCCGTCAACACAACCAATCTCAGCTCAATCGCTCCAGAAGTTTTTTGCACAATCCTGCCTTAAGAAAAAATACATATCAAGAAGTTTACCGTAAATAATAATAATACATATTTATTTATTTAATATTTTTCAAAAACAGTGTTTACGAAGCACTGCATAGTCATAATAACACAGAGTCAAAATAATTAACACTAGACTGAGGCAAACAAAGCAGACAGCACGGGCAGCAAGAAGGTCCTGGGTTGGAATCCGGGTCGGAGCGGGGCCTTTCTGAGTGGAGTTTGCATGTTCTCCCTGTGTCTGTGTAGGTTTCCTCCAGGTGCAATAGTTCTGACATGCGCCCCCTGTGTGGCGACCTCGCTCCCCTCTGTGTGGAGTGAGAGACACATGTCCACCACAATTGTAAAGAGCTTTGTGACTACTTCATTCAGCCATTTTTTCTTTCGCTTTGCTGTATGGAACGGGTGAGGGGGATTGGAACTTGGAAGTCATTCAACCTCTGTCCAAACTATGTCTGTTTTATTTTATTTTTATACTTTATTGTTTTATTGGAACTATTATGTGTACACAGCCATTGTTAAACACCACAACATATATTGCCAAGGGTATTTTGCAATGTCCATCCCTAGAAGGGCTTTTAATACATTACAAAACCACATTTTACCTTGTTACATTCACATCATACAAATTCAGGTGTCCCCCAGCTCATCCCTGCTCACACTGCTTACTACTGCTGGCTTTTGTTCAATAATCGCTTCAATAAACTGTGGCGAACTGGTACAATTGTCTTCTGTAAATACGTATGCTTATTTTTTTGTTTTTGTGTGATGTCTTCTGTTCTGGACCTCGTGTTTGTAATAAAGTTTAATTCTAATAATCGCTTCAGCCCAGTCCAAGTTCAGTTCAAGCTGCAGACTGAAAAATGTGTTGTGAAATGATCCTGCTTGATTGATATTGGATTCTTCATGTTGCTGGAGATAGATTTTTTTCTTTCTTCACATCAAGACCCTTCCACAAACTAACTCATGCATCAAATCAACAACAAATGCTCCCCAACCAAAATGCCCCCAAAGCTGAATTCCTGACACAGCAGCTAATTCTTCTGGACATTCCTCCATTGTTTGCCACCCACGTGCTGTTTGTACGCGCACGGCATCGCCTCGTCGCAGGACTCCACTGTACTTCTGCATGAGTGGTTGCCTGACTGGCCTAATTCGAGGGGGATCCTGACACGCTGTATTCATAGACATTCAGAGCAGTGGAGTGGGTGTCCTCTGCACGCCATTGTTTTTGTATCATTTTTCTGAGCTTGCACAAATACTCATTATCTGCTATCAAATTACTTTCAGAACTAGATCATGCACTCACCGGGGATCTCAAGGTTTCCGTCCTTTCCATCTCCACACCAACATTTCAATAGTTGTTGCACATCCCTGCCTACAGACAAACTCACACACAGAGATGGTTGCAATACTCTCCTGTTGGCGGGAAAAGTGTAATAGAATTCAAAATATAGGAGCACACAATATCATGCATATATTCAAGAGGAAGAAAACCAAATCTCAATAACAGCCTTGATTATTGCAGAAACATACAATCTCCAAATGTTATTTACCTTTTTGCTTTTCACAAAAAGCTGGTGGCATTCAAATATATGCCACCAGCTGTGTGTTAGGGCACTGACCTGTGTAGATTCAGGCTGATAGGAGTTCATAAATGCTTTACTAAGAATAGACTTTCTCTGTTATGGTTCAGCCTAGAGATAGATAGATATTACCTTCTGTTCTCTTGTGTGGAAATATAAAACGCCCTCCGGCTTTAATCATAAAAACATATTCTCAGGTGATACACAATTAGGCATCGAAAGTTTAACCTTAGACAATGTTGCAGCTCTTTGAAACTTTGTTCTTCTCCAAAAAGGATCTATTTTGAATTAATTGACCTTTTGTTTTGGATTTATAATGTAATGTACTGAAGTGAGTGTTTGAAGCTAAAACTGGTGTGTTTTAACTCAGATGTTGATGATTGCGACCTCATCTCTTCTCAGAAAGTTCTGCAGAGTCTAAGTCACTTCTTCTTTGTTTGGTTACAGGCTGGTACAGAGGATTCTCCACCAGGAAGCCACACGTCAAGGTAGGAAGACTTCACATCAACATTACTTAATTAGCGCACCTTTGACATTTCTTTACTTTGACTGTCTGATTATCACACATGCTCTGTTCGTTATTTAAATTCCAGTACATTTGAAACTTAACATCTTTCCTGCTTTTGACTCAACAAAACAATGAAAACAGCAAACAAGAGCACTTCAGCGCGACAAAACAGGAAATGAGTCTACTGTATATCCAAAACCATACATTTCTAATATAGGCATGGCTTTCAGATGCATCTCCTGGCCTTGTCTCAATAGGGTCCAGTTTATTTGGTTACACGCCATAAAAACTGGGTTTGGAAATTGTTTGGTCCAGTTATATCATGTGTTTAGATGCGTCTTTGTGAATCGACTGGATTTGGACGAGGCGAAGGATCCGTTTTTTCTCTAGTGCTTTGTAAACATACTCAGTGTGTGGAGGATTAGCTCATATTTGTTTGGGTCACACGAAGGACAATGGAATTCAGCACAGCAGGATCATAAACAACGGCTCGTGCTTTACTAAACAAATTGTAAATCACAGCTTGAGACTCCACGGTTGTTTTAAATGTGGACTGTCATTGTCCAATATATTGCATATCTGAAGACTGAATGTGAACGTGCTCAGTGGTGAGTGGTGTGATTGCCTCCTGACCTCCTCTTTCTTGCTCTGTCCCCAGGCAGCTATTATGTCATATGTTTTGTAAGTGATGCCCAGAAGGTGGCGCTCAAAGTGGCTTGGAACCAACCTTTGTTATATCTATTTGATTTTGACAAAGCAGCCATCCTCCCGTGGACCCACCACCTGCAGTGAGACAAGCGAGGGATTGGAGCTGATGCAGATTGGGTGACAGCCTCGACCCATGGACTAACCAAATCTCAATAATTGCTATGATTATTGCAAAAACATACAATCTCCACATGTTATTTACCTTTTTGCTTTTCACAAAAAGCTGGTGGCATTCAAATATACGCCACCAGCTGTGTGTTAGGGCACTGACCTGTGTAGATACAGGCTGATGGGAGTTCATAAATGCTTTACTAAGAATAGACTTTCTCAGTTATGGTTCAGTCTTATAGATATTACCTTCTGTTCTCTTGTGTGAAAATATAAAACGCACTCCGGCTTTAATCATAAAAACATATTCTCATGTGACACGCAATTACGCGTCGACAGTTTAACCTTAGACAATGTTGTAGCTTGTTTTCAAGGCTGTGAATCAGGGAAAGAGGAGTGCCAGCCAGTTATTTAACACATTCTTCAAAATAAAGTTTTATTAGCTACACTTTGGATCATGGATCTAACCTAAAGACTGTTCATACTAACGGACGTAGTCACGACTATCTCCGCCATTAAAAACTATGTGCCCCCACTTTTCCCTTGGGCTTTTTCAAAATGGCCGCGTTGGCAAGATAATGTGAAAAAAAAAAAAAATGCATTTGCGCATGTGTTAGCTGACACTAGCCTCATTTCTTTGGCGAGTGCATTCTGAAGTCTACAGCGACTGAACTAGACTGGTCCAAAAATATAGTCTCCTTAGCATTGACAGCATCTGAAACATAGCGTTGGGCCAAGAGCTGACTCTAGGACCATCCTGTAAAGCCGTTTTCGAGAGGGTAGAAGATGCCATACAAAAGCATTGGGTAATTCTATGTCTGGGTACACCCCCACCGGCCCGGGGTGAGATTGCAAGAATGTCAGCGCACAGGCTCATGGATCTTTTGGAGGCAGGATCTGTCCCCACTGGTCTAACCTCCAGAGAAGGGCTGCATTAACAGAGCCCTCTATCATGATAGTTCCACAATTATTATTTCTTTCCGTGCAGAGCGTGTCTCCCTGAGGATAGGACTTCCCACTCTGGAGTACTCATTATCCCTCCCAGATCTACACATTTCATCTGTATATCTCTTTTATACCCCCGCTGTGTTGGGCCAGTGTCAGGGCAGCACTAACAAGTCAGCAGAATACACACATAGTATTCTATAAACACCACACAATTACCACTTCGCAGTGCATTCTCAAAATAAATACTTGGCGCAGCACTATCACAAGCAGCACATGCCATTACGAATAAACATGTCCATTCATGAATGAAGGTTACCATAAATTGCGTGTCAATTTCCTAAGGGTAAAACATCTACCTCACTTTACAACTGAAGGTAGAAGGTCCATTGTACAATATTATACTTTTCTCCTCATGTTAGCCCTGCTTAAATCCATCTCTCTCAATAGGTGCAGTTTGACACTTCAATTTCATGGATTGTTACTTGTTTGAGCCGTGCTGTTGTACCACTCAATGCACATAAGTGATCTCTGAATATCTCTAAACCTGAGCAGTGTTTAATTGGTAACTCTACTCACATGCACGAATTCAATCTAGGAAATGTGGGTGAAGTGTATTGGCTAAGGACACAATGACACAATTGTGTAAGGACACAATGACAGATTAAAGCCGCAGCCGCCCCACTGTGACTCCTGGTGTTCTCAGAGGTCTCTCATCACAGTGCTGACCAGGGTCTGTCCTGCTTAGCTTCAGAAATCTGATGGGATCTGGCTTTTGCATGGCCACATGGTAACTGTGACATTTGTTCACAAAGGAAAACAACACAAATCCAAATTACTTCAAACTAACTCTTGAAATTCATTTAATCATATTTTAATCCTTTTTTTACTCCTTGTCTCACCCAATATTATTATCTACTTAACAAAACAATATTGGCTCTGCTTTGTCATTTAAGAATGTGAAAATAATATTGTTAGTAGGGGTGGGAACCTAAGGGTACCTCACGATACGATACTACACACGATACAAAGCTCACGATAACGATATTATCACGAAAACGATATTATCACGAAAACGATTTTATCACGATAAGACGATTATTGATATATTGGTCAGAAATATACAATATGCCAATTTATGGCATAAATAAAAGAAAAAAATACAATTTATTTCATGATAAATGGAATGGAGATGCGTAATGTAGCCATATATTAAGTATTGATAACAATTTATTTTTTTAAATTGTAAAAAAAAAAAAAAAAAAAAATCGATATCGATACTTGGCAAATGCATATCGATAATCGAAAAGCGGGAGAAAGTGTCGCGATATATCAATATATTGTCACACCCTTAATTGTTAGTAGAAAATATATATGATGAAATAAATATGAAGGATAAAGTTTATGAGAAGGAGGAGGGAATGAACTTTGCAGAGGTTTAAAGAAACAATAAATTGTTTTTGTGCCGCTGTTTGACCCAGAAAGACCCGGGACAGGTTTAGCGCTGTTCTCTTTGTCATGTATAACTCAAAAGGCCACATGTCCCACTTGGCTTCTCTGTCACAGACTTCAGCATCAGGGCGACTGCACTTCTGACAGTCGGGATCACACTGTCCCCAAATCGTGAGGTTAACAAACTTTAGCTTTTCTCTGGACTAACTCATGTCTTATTGAATAAAGTTGATATTATATACAAATTATTACACAATTGTGATCAGGACCTACTTTAAAAATCCCAGAATGATAAGAATATGCTGCAAAAGTATCATTGATTTAAGATGATTTTCTTGCAGACATTAGGATAAGAACAAACAGCAGAAAATGTCCTAAATGTTTAAACTTTTAGTCAAAGAGTCAAAATTGGACAAAACACATTTTTAGGTAAAGTCTACTTACATCACATGGCAAAAGCTCTTTATTATTTTATTATTGTAAAAACAACAAATAATAGAGACTCCCGCTGTTGTCGGCTGTCGTTGTGTCCTTGTGCAAGACACTTAACCCAATTTTGCCTGACGCCCCCGAAAGATCACAACTGCTGTGGACTCAGCACCTGCAGGAGGATCAGTGAGGGGCTGGTGCTCTGTGGACTGGGTGTAGCTCTGACTGCCACCCCCCGACCCAGAAATGGATTAAGGGGAAGAAAATGGATGGAACAATGGATGGATGGATAACAACAAATAATATTCAGTAATATGAATATTTATTAATAACAACTTAGTGCTGTATCTGGATTGACAATCAAAGTATTCATCAGCTTATTTTCTCCATGGCTTCTGACTTGAAATGTTTTTCTACTTTATGTCCTCATGTTAATGACAGGGTAAACAACTAAGAACGTCAGCCCTACTACTACATAACTACTACTACTGTATGTCTCCTCCACAAACTTGTGTGATTGGCCCTGTATCCATTATATATGATGCAAGTCATTCCCGCTCCTTCCATGCTTCCATTATGTGCACAATGACTCGGAAGACCATCTTTCTCACACGTGGCGCTGACACAAACTGCTCTGACACAGTTCCATCTGCATGTATGCAGTCCAGGATGTGCTGAGGAATGTTAATGAGAAGACATCTCCAGCCCCTGTTTCTTTGGACGTGCGCTGACTGCAAATCTACAGATCTGTTATAAGCATAGTTAATTATAGACTCTACGCTACAGAGGAGAGGGAATTAAAACATGGCAGACTAATGACATTTACCTTTATGCTTAATTTCACAGTGTTAAAGATTTGTTAATGCTTTACAGTTCAAATGAATTTAACTAAATGTGAGGATCAGAGCTTGTGCTTTGGAGAAAAGAATGTGAGAAGATTGACATTTTATTATGTGATTCTTGGGTATCTCTGATGGGCCAGTTACAATTAAATATTCCTGCCTCAAGGGCAATTCATGTTTAAAATATCAAAATAGAAATGCCTATCTACAACTTTATAGAGTGTTATTATCATGTTCATGATGTTGCTAAGTACTTCTTTAACTGTACTTTTCTAAATGTTTCTGCTTATCAATGCCTGAGCCTCCATCCATAGCCTGCTTTGGAAGTCACCGAGGCAGCAGTCAGATCACACACTCTATCCACCCACACTTCCACCTGCTCATCTGGGAGAATCCCGAGGCTTTCCCAGGACAGTGAGAGACACAGTTCCTCCAGCGTGTCCTGGTCCTACCTTCAACTGCCCCTCTTAAGAAATTACATTTGTTCTCGGAAGTTGGCAATAAAAACCTGTAATTTGGGTGTCATTATTCTACTTATTAGTCGTGTTCAATAGAAGCACACAGGTGTTCATTGCGCAGTGTGACACTAGGCAAACTCATGAATGTCCCATCATTCAGAAGGGATTTCTCTGCACATAAAGCATTAAACAGATGAAGTCAGGTCTGCTGGTGTCCCGCTGAGGGGGCTGACACATGCTTTGGCCTTCAACATGAAATATGCAGGAAGAATCAGAGAACCAAAGTACAAGACATCGGCCTCGCACTGTACTGTTAGTGTCAAATAAACCAGGGACACACAACAGGGCATAAAGCTTTTAGAGATGAAGCTAAAAATACGTCCTGCGCCACGCTGCAGCAGCTCTGTACCCGGAGGAAATAAGTCTCATTAATGGTGTTTCAGAAAGAGCACATGTTGTCGTTTTACAGCTCAGCAAAATGCAACTTAACAATGAGGAGAGCTGACTGGAATGATTTGTAGTTTACATCAGTCCCAAGCAAGTAAGCAAATTCATTATTGATAGATGGTGTTTATACGGAATCATGCGAAATGTGTGGTCTTACTATTTCTCAACTGTTTAAAACACTGGTGTGGAGTGTTTTAAATGTATAATTCTGTTAACTTAATATTGTCTCAATATTTGTTTCAGGGTGTATTTCCTGCCAGTTACATCCACCTGAAGAAAGCCATTGTCACAAACAGAGGGTAAGTCCACTTTCTTATTTTGAGCAGTGTAGTTTTGGAGGCACCTATTTATTAGAGAATATATATAGCTTCCCACTTCCTTTTAATGTCAGACTTGAAGCCCCTCAAAGTGCAACATTCAAGTAGATATCTATACAAAATGCTGAGCAGTGGTCACCTACTATTGTAGCCACAGCTGCCCCGGGGCTATCAATCAATCAATCTTTATTTATAAAGCGCTTTTCCTACACAGGGTAACACAAAGCGCCTCACAGTCCACACCACACAAGGCACAAATCATCACATAAACAAAGGCAAAATCACCATTAGAAATACAATTAAAATCACACCGGTAATTTAAAACATTAAAACATTAAAAACTATAAACACACTACAGTATCAAGACTTTAGAAAGACTTCAAAGATGTCATTATTCTTATTCAGCACCAGTTCATCTGAGACTCAGGGACACATCTTCTCCTGAATCCACTGAATGAACAAAAAGTAACAACAGCTGAAAAATGTCACTTGTTTTATCCATTTTGAGAAGAAAACTTTGCTCATTGTGTCTGTTCCTTTACACATCTCAGGATACAACCACATGTCTGCGTTTGTTTTGGTTCTTTCAAAGTTCTGGGCCGATCGCATCAACGGCAGCTTGACAAGACGTTTTTTATTTTTCCACAATATTTAAGTTCACAAAATCACAAATATTGTTCAATTTAATCTTGCTGCTCAAGGTTAATTACAACAAGTAACTCAAAAGGTTTGTAGCTGTTTTGATAGCAGCACTTTCTACATCAGTCACAAACTTAAGTTCTTCACTCTGGATTCTTTTGGAAGTTCAATATTGCTTATTTGAATACATTTACATATTGAGTCGAAACACTTTGTGGCCCTTCTCCCCACCTCAGATTAATCAGAGTAACACTGTGTCATTTGCATACAAGTTTTATAATTACAGGGAGCAAGAGTAAATTAATTGGATTTGTTAAATCGTCAAGTTTTTTTTTTTTTCCAGTGGACCTTCAGGGCACAAGGTCTTACAGTTTGACACTGTAGAAAGGTACTGGGCAATAAAAGTAACAGTACGTGATTTTTATGGTGGTGTGAAATCCCAGTTATCACCAGTAAGTAAGTAAGTAAGTAAGTAATCTTTATTTATATACCGCCTTTTCACTGCACATCGGAGTCTCAAAGCGGTTTACAATTGTTATTTTTTGGGAGCAGGGGTCGCCAGTACCGAGGAGGCACATGCCAGACCTGTTGTACATATTTTTAGTGGTAGGGGAAACCGGAGCACCCGGAGGAAACCTACGCAGACACGGGGAGAACATGCAAACTCCACTCAGAAAGGCCCTGGTCCAACCGGGATTCGAACCCAGGACCTTCTTGCTGAGAGGCGAGAGTGCTATCCACTCAGCCACCGTGCCGCCGTGCAGTACAATCAATACAGACCATGGTATTAATTCATTGTCCATTACAGTACTCTATTCTATTCACATGCTGCATTCATTATGAAAAACTGCAGATTAAAAAAATGAAATAATAAATATACTTTTTCAATCTCTATATTAATTATGTAGTATTTATTATTAACTCATTGACTGCCGTTGACGTATTTGTCTGAGACCCTCTATTTGACTGGGGTTTACAGGACAATAAAAATAATTAAAAACAAACTTTTTGTTGCTGATCCAAGTAGACAATCCAGTCTTTCAGAATCTGGTTTGACATTTCACATAGTCATAGGAAATAATATTCGGTGGGTCTTGAGAATCAGTGAAATCATCAAAAACGGCTGGCAGTCAAAGAGTGAAGCCCAGTCCTGTCTCCATTGTATCTCACTGATTTGCTTTCTTTGCACACTCCGGGCAGAGCACTGAGGTCCTCTTAGCTGCTTTTTTTTGCACTGTCCCAGGTCTATACCAAAGACCAGAGGAGACCGAGCCTTTGTTGTCGCAGGGCCCAAACTCTGGAACTCTCTCCCTTATTGAGTCAGATCTGCCCCATCTCTAGAGAGCTTTAAATCACAGCCAAAGACACATTTTTTACCCTGGCTTTTTAACTCCAGCTCAAATGAAACTTTTATGATAGTGGGCCAGTAGTTTATTTTTGCGTTGTTGTTGATTTGTGTGTTGTATTTTGTAAAGTCTGGAAAGAACTTTGTGACCCTCATGTCTGTTTTTTAAAATATGCTATTTGAATAAACATGACTTTAACATGGCAGTCCGCTCTGGTTCTGGAAACATAATGCTCACGCTAAAGTGTTTTGTATAATTAAAACATTAAAAGGGTAAAAGCACACAGTAGAAGTCAAATTCATCCATACATTTTCTTCCGCTTTATCTGTTCCTGGGTCACATGGGCAGCAGACGAAGCAGAGATGCCCAGACTTCTTCACACAGACACAGACACAGACACAGACACAGACACAGACACAGACACAGACACACACACAGACACACACACAGACACACACACACATACTGGTTTCCATTCTTGATGGGGACCAGGTTTCAAATCATCACATGTGGGGACCACCCTTTCTAGAGGTTCTAGAGTCATTAAAAAAAATTGAGTTACTTAACAAAACATTGTAAGCATATACACATCTTAAAATGTGTCAATTGATGAAATGATATTCTGGCAGTGTACTGTGGGGACCTATAAAAAAACGAGTCAATGTCACTTAGAAGGACCAGATTTGCATATTTTTTGCATAATTCACACACTTTTATAATTTACTCATGGGGACCCTTTGTAAATCTAATAAGTACAATGTTAAGGCCAAAGAATGCACAGACTGTCTTTGTAAATGTGCCTTTATTAACCAATTTTATATTTTTTATTGCTAGGATTGTGAACAGCTTATTTCTTGATGAAAGCACATTTTGCTTCAAATGCAGAGCAAAAAAATGTCTTTCGTCATATATTCTTTGTACACCATTTTTGTTGTATGCCTTAACAGCCATATTTGTAGTGGCCTGACTTGAACTGAGTTCAACTGCAGAAGATGTTTCAGCTGAAACACATCTTAGCATCTTGAATGAAGTTGTGAAGTCCCATTCAAGATTGTTTGCAGGGATAGAATCATCAAGAATGAGTTGTAATTTTGTTTCATGACGAAGTTTGGATCACTATCACTTTCTGAATCAGACGAGGTATCTGGGACATAGTTGTCTGAACTATCCATTGTAGAATCATAAAACTCACAGTCAAGATGATTTGTGTCTTTCATCTGAATAAAACAAGAAAAAACATTTTAACAACTAAGAATTCCAAAAAAGTAAAAAAAAAAACAGTCAGAATGCAATTCATTGAAAAAAAATACTTACAAAATAAATGAATGACACATTTAACTTCACTGGATGATAACAAGTTTTATAGGTACATTTTGTACTGACTTACTATGACACTTTTTGTCCTTATCAGTTTTGGTACATAATCGACTTCCCATGTGTGCTGTGCAAGAATCTGTAAATAAAAAAAAACTAATATAAACAAACAAGACAAAAAACGACAACACTTCTCTTGAGGACCTTTTCACACCCCACTCCATTCCTTATTTATGGGGACCAATTCAACGGACTCACACACATAATTAAACTCAACAGAACTCACTCATCCACTCTTCCACTATCCATTTACTGAATATAGTTAAATGACTTACACATAAAAAATATTGTATAATTGTCTTCAAAGGTTAAAAAAGCTTTCTCAGGACTGACAAGGAATCTCTGGTATTTTGTCATGATTGATGAATAGGATCCTACTTGTTTCTGATTGGCATCGTTTCCAAATGACGTATTCATGTGGGACTGAGGCTGGTCAGAATGATCAAAAAATCTGTGGTATAAGTGTCATCTGTGGGAGACAGAAGGTATGAGGATTTACAATTGAACACTAAAATAATCACCGTCTAAAACAGTGATTACAAATTAAAATCAAAAGACCACTCAAGCAGTCCCAAATACTACCAGCAGTACACAAATCATAGTTTGACTGATGTAAAACCAACTTGTTTGTACATACACACATCTAGGGTCGGGGACACGTCTCATGAGGACCTTTTCACACCCCTCTCAATTCCTTCATGGGGACCAATTCAATGGACTTTCACACACTGATCAACTCATCAGCAGTCACTCCAGGTGTGCTATGGGGACATTGTGAGGGCTATTTCACACACTTCCATTCCTTCTTTACGGGGACCGTTTCAATGGACTTTCACACATGATTAAACTCAACAGAAGTGTTTTATGGGGACATCGTGAGGGTTCATTTGAAAGAAACATTTAAGTAAAAAGTCCTTGTCTGCAATGACCAAAAAAGGCTTAAAGTATTCTCCTTCTATTCCACTTACTGAATATAGTTTAATGAGTTACACATGAAAAATCTTATACAAATGACTTCAAATGTTAAAAAGCTTTCTCAGAATTGACAAAGAACCTCTGGAATCTTGTCATGATTGATACAAATTATCCTACCTGTTTCTGAGGGGCATCGTTTGCAAATGACGTATTCATGTGGCACTGAGGCTGGTCAGAATGATCAACAGAACCTGGAGTAGTGCAATCTGCTGTCACGTGGGTCAATCTGTGTGAATCAGAAGGTATGAGGATTTACTATAAAACACTTGAATAATCACCGTCTTAAACAGAGATCACAATTTTAATTTAATAGAACCACCCAAGAAGGCCAAAGTACTACCAGAAGTCCACAAATCATATTTTGACAGATGTAAAACAAACTTATTTGCACATACACACATCTAGGGTCGGGGACATGTCTCATGAGGACCTTTTCACACCCCCACCCCATTCCTTCATGGGGACCAATTCAATGGACTTTCACACACGGTTCAACTCATCAGCAGTCACTCAAAGTGTGTTATGGGGACATTTTGATGGCCATTTCACACACTTCCATTCCTCCTTTACGGGGACCAATTCAATGGACTTTCACACATGTTTAATAGAAGTCACTCAAAGTGTTTTATGGGGACATCGTGAGGGTTCATTTGAAAGAAACATTTAGGTAAAAAGTCCTTGTCTGCAATGACCAAAAAAGGCTTAAAGTATTCTCCTTCCACTATTCCACTTACTGAATATAGTTTAATGAGTTACACGTGACAAATCTTATACAAATGACTTCAAATGTTAAAAAGCTTTCTCAGAACTGACAAAGAACCTCTGGAATTTTGTCATGATTGATAAAAATTATCCTACCTGTTTCTGAGGGGCATCGTTTGCAAATGACGTATTCATGTGGCACTGAGGCTGGTCAGAATGATCAACAGAACCTGGAGTAGTGCAATCTGCTGTCACGTGGGTCATCTGTGTGAATCAGAAGGTATGAGGATTTACTATAAAACACTTGAATAATCACCGTCTTAAACAGAGATCACAAATTTAATTTAATAGAACCACCCAAGAAGGCCAAAGTACTACCAGAAGTACACAAATCATAGTTTGACAGATGTAAAACAAACTTATTTGCACATACACACATCTAGGGTCGGGGACATGCCTCATGAGGACCTTTTCACACCCCCGCCCCATTCCTTCATGGGGACCAATTCAATGGACTTTCACACACGGTTCAACTCATCAGCAGTCACTCAAAGTGTGTTATGGGGACATTTTGATGGCCATTTCACACACTTCCATTCCTCCTTTACGGGGACCAATTCAATGGACTTTCACACATGTTTAATAGAAGTCACTCAAAGTGTTTTATGGGGACATCGTGAGGGTTCATTTGAAAGAAACATTTAAGTAAAAAGTCCTTGTCTGCAATGACAAAAAAAGGCTTAAAGTATTCTCCTTCCACTATTCCACTTACTGAATATAGTTTAATGAGTTACACATGACAAATCTTATACAAATGACTTCAAATGTTGAAAAGCTTTCTCAGAACTGACAAAGAACCTCTGGAATTTTGTCATGATTGATACAAATTATCCTACCTGTTTCTGAGGGGCATCATTTGCAAATGACGTTATTCATGTGGCACTGAGGCTGGTCAGAATGATCAACAGAACCTGGAGTAGTGCAATCTGCTGTCACGTGGGTCATCTGTGTGAATCAGAAGGTATGAGGATTTACTATAAAACACTTGAATAATCACCGTCTTAAACAGAGATCACAAATTTAATTTAATAGAACCACCCAGGAAGGCCAAATTACTACCAGAAGTACACAAATCATAGTTTGACAGATGTAAAACAAACGTATTTACACATACACACATCTAGGGTCGGGGACATGTCTCATGAGGACCTTTTCACACCCCCGCCCCATTCCTTCATGGGGACCAATTCAATGGACTTTCACACACGGTTCAACTCATCAGCAGTCACTCAAAGTGTGTTATGGGGACATTTTGATGACCATTTCACACACTTCCATTCCTCCTTTACGGGGACCAATTCAATGGACTTTCACACATGTTTAATAGAAGTCACTCAAAGTGTTTTATGGGGACATCGTGAGGGTTCATTTGAAAGAAACATTTATGTAAAAAGTCCTTGTCTGCAATGACAAAAAAAGGCTTAAAGTATTCTCCTTCCACTATTCCACTTACTGAATATAGTTTAATGAGTTACACATGACAAATCTTATACAAATGACTTCAAATGTTGAAAAGCTTTCTCAGAACTGACAAAGAACCTCTGGAATTTTGTCATGATTGATAAAAATTATCCTACCTGTTTCTGAGGGGCATCGTTTGCAAATGACGTATTCATGTGGCACTGAGGCTGGTCAGAATGATCAACAGAACCTGGAGTAGTGCAATCTGCTGTCACGTGGGTCATCTGTGTGAATCAGAAGGTATGAGGATTTACTATAAAACACTTGAATAATCACCGTCTTAAACAGAGATCACAAATTTAATTTAATAGAACCACCCAAGAAGGCCAAAGTACTACCAGAAGTACACAAATCATAGTTTGACAGATGTAAAACAAACGTATTTACACATACACACATCTAGGGTCGGGGACATGTCTCATGAGGACCTTTTCACACCCCCGCCCCATTCCTTCATGGGGACCAATTCAATGGACTTTCACACACGGTTCAACTCATCAGCAGTCACTCAAAGTGTGTTTATGGGGACATTTTGATGACCATTTCACACACTTCCATTCCTCCTTTACGGGGACCAATTCAATGGTCTTTCACACATGTTTAATAGAAGTCACTCAAAGTGTTTTATGGGGACATCGTGAGGGTTAATTTGAAAGAAACATTGAAGTAAAAAGTCCTTGTCTGCAAAGACCAAAAAAGGCTTAAAGTATTCTCCTTCCACTATTCCACTTACTGAATATAGTTTAATGAGTGACACAAAACAAATCTAAGATAATTGACTTCAAATGTTATAAAACCTTTTCAGAACTGACAAAGAACCTCTGGTATTTTGTCATGATTGATAAAAATTATCCTACCTGTTTCTGAGGGGCATCGTTTGCAAATGACGTATTCATGTGGCACTGAGGCTGGTCAGAATGATCAACAGAACCTGGAGTATGCAATCTGCTGTCACGTGGGTCATCTGTGGGAAACAGAAGGTATGAGGATTTACAATAACACACTATAATAATCACCATCTCAAACAGAGATCACAAATTTAATTTAATATAACCACCCAAGAAGGCCAAAGTACTACCAGCAGTGCACAAATCATAGATTGACAGATGTAAAACAAACTTATTTGCACATACACACATCTATGGTCGGGGACCATGCCTCATGAGGACCTTTTCACACCCCCGCCCCATTCCTTCATGGGGACCAATTCAATGGACTTTCACACACGGTTCAACTCATCAGCAGTCACTCAAAGTGTGTTATGGGGACATTTTGATGGTCATTTCACACACTTCCATTCCTCCTTTACGGGGACCAATTCAATGGACTTTCACACATGTTTAATAGAAGTCACTCAAAGTGTATTATGGGGACATCGGGAGAGTTCAATTTAAAGAAACATTTGAGTAAAAAGTTCTCGTCTGCCATGACCAAAAAAAGGTAAAAAATACTTTCCTTCGACAATTCCACTTACTGAATATAGTTTAACGAGTGACACATAACAAATCTAAGATAATTGACTTCAGATGTTATAAAAACATTTCAGAACTGACAAAGAACCTCTGGTATTTTGTCATGATTGATAAATATGATCTTACCTTAATCTGATAGGCATCGTTTCCAAATGACATATTCATGTGGCACTGAGGCTGGTCAGAATGATCAAGAAAACCTGTAGTTGAGCCATCTGCTGTCACATGGGTCATCCGTGGGAGACAGAAGGTATAAGGATTTTTAATAAAAACACTAAAATAATCTAGAACAGAGATCACAAATTTAAATTTTAAAGAACCACCCAAGGGGGCCCAAGTATTACCAGCAGTACACAAATCATAGTTTGACAGATGTAAACCCAACTTGTTTGTACACACACACATCTAGGGTCTGGAACACGTCTCATGAGGACCTTTTCACACCCCTCTCAATTCCTTCATGGGGACCAATTCAATGAACTTTCACAAACAATTCCACTCATCATCAGTCACTCCTAGACGTTATGGGGACCTTTTTTGGACCATTTCAAACACCTCTATTCCTTCTTTACGGGGGACCATTTCAAACAGACTTTCACACATGATTAAACTCAACAGAAGTCACTCAATTTATTATGGGGACATTGTGATGGTTCATTGGAAATAAGGCTAAAAATATTCTACTTCCACTTATCTACTTACTGAATATAGTTTAAAATGAGTTAAACATAAACAAATCTTATATAAATTGACTTCAAATGTTAAAAAGCTTGCTCAGAACTGACAAAGAATGGTCAGAATGATCAAGAAAGCCTGTTGTAAAGCCATCTGCTGACACGTGGGTCATCTGTGGGAAGACAGAAGGTATAAGACTTTACAATAGAACACTATAATAATCTATAAGTCTAAAACAGTGCTCCAATTTTTTCCAACCAAGCCCCATGTTATAAAATACTGAAATGTACACCAGGTCTGGATCACCATGAAAACAAGATAAGAGAAACTTAATTGATCTCACAGTGGAGAATCAGGGTTTATAAAGGTCTAAACTAGACTTCCTGAAGTCTACCTAAAGCCTTGTCTATAGCAGAAAACTCCAAGCTCCAAAGTCATAACTAAAACAATCATACAATGTAAAATCAACCACCATAGGAGGCCATTTCACACACTTCCATTCATTCTTTATGGGGACCCATGAAACAAACTTTCAAACATAGTTCAAGTCAATAGCAGTAACTGAAAGGGCATTCTTTGTATTAGGTTAGAAATAAGCAATTATTTTAAGCGTGTGGATTGTGGACATACTCTTGCTCTCCAGGGCAGTCATCTCCACCATAAACATAAGTAATTTCTTCTCCTTCTTTTTTGTCTCGTAATGCTTCTTTTCATCTTACAATTTTGGGTGGATTGTGGTCATCATTAACAATACGCCCCAAATGTGCCATCTTGTACTGAAGCATCAATGCTGAAAAAAAGAAATATATATATTTGATTATATAAAAACTTTTAAACACTATATAGTACATACATTATACAGTATAGTGCTACAATCACCAAGCTTACATACTCAAAGCTTACCTATATTTTTCAATTCAAATTATATAATACAGAGACAGCTTTTTCAGCTAAATTTTCAAACCCCACAGACAGAGGTTTTTCTGGGCTAATTCGTGGTGCCATTTAAATCATCAAAAAACTGAAACAACAGAATGCATAATTATGATTTCACTTGAGTCATTTTTTGAAACTATTCTATTACATTTGTAATTTATTTTATCTGTAGGTTTGGTTACAGCTGTTTCTACTATATTACTTCCAAATATCTTCTATAATCTAATATATTTTAATACATAATTACAAATCAAACCTTTACTTTCAACATTTAGTCAGGTACTCAATTAATATATTCATCCAGTACTTCAGTAACTTTTCTTTTTCCTTTCTACTTGAAGAAATTAAATATTTCTGCTATTTGACCCACTTAATTCTTAAAATAAAACTAAACTGCAAACTACTTCTTAATAAGTAAAGCCACTATAGGTTACTGCTATTACATAGAAAGCTTTAGTTGTATCATTCAGAACCTGTATATGTACTGAGAAACCTTTAGTTGCTTCTTGAAAGTACCACACACAAGTTGATTACTATACGAGCTAGTTGCTAATGCTAACAGGTTGTATATTAAAATCACATCTAATCTTGCTTAAAAAGGGAAACCATGCAAAGTAAATCACTGAATCTGTACTTATTACACAGTTTATTCGTTTTGCATGAGCATTGAACAGATACAGTCTTTAGTATAGCTACCAGCAAAGAGTACTCAGATTCTTTAGCCTGTTTACTCTGACACTAGCTTGTTAGCAAAAATCGGTGCTAACTTCCTAGCTAGCTACTTCTAGTACATAAGAAGCTCTACTTATGTAATTTAGTCACCACTCGTTTACTGCGAAGACAACGTTACCTGTTCGCCATCTGAATGTCCTTTTAGAAGGGAACATTGCCCATGTGCTGTTTGGTAGAATCTGCTGTCCAAGCTAGTTGCTAAGCTAGCTCAACAAGTTGCCAATGCTAGCTCGAACTTGCATTAGTCTGTACATTAAAACCACAGCAATTCAGGCCACAAAAGTGAATTAGCAATAACTTGGTTGCTATTAAATAACATGCATATATACAATATTTGTTCTAAAATATTGCAAATTATGCTTACCTGTCTGTTGCATTTGAAAGCAGCTGAAAACAGTTGATTCCAAGATCATCACCAGTCCAGGATGTGGGCGGTACTTACCAAAGTGTGTGTGGAAACCAATGTGTCTTACCAGTCATTACCACCAGAGGTGCCAATGAGCAACCACAACACACACATTAAACATCACTTACGAGCCTTCTCTAAAACTTTGCCCAGCACCTTCTAAACAGCTCCCCCATTCATCTAAATGGTTTTCCTTATGGGGACCTGGTTTTTGGTCCTCCTAAGGAAATGGGTCCCCATGGCGTGACTGTGTTAACAGATTTCAGTCCCCACAACGTGATGATTACAAGAACACACACACACACACACACACACACACACACACACACACACACACACACACACACACACACACCAATCCTGAGGCGTTCTCACCCCAGCTGAGAGACATAGTCCCTCCAAAGTGACCTGGGTCTTCCCCTGGACTTCCCCTGGACTTCCCCTGGTCTTCCCCTGGTCTTCCCCTGGTCTTCCCCTGGTCTTCCCCTGGTCTTACCTTGGTCTTCCCCTGGTGAGACATACCCGCAACATCCTCCTGGACAATTGAAGTCAAATTCAATTCAACAAAAAAGTCACAAGTCATAACTTAAAACATTAATGGCACCACATCCCTGATCAGCCCCAAACAAGCAAAACATTGTAAGTGCATCTTTCCCTTGTGGAGGCTGGAGGCACTTTGCCGCTCTGTCGCAGGTGGTGTTGTATCTGCTGACGTCGGGCCTGTTTAGTGCACAGTCATGTTCCATTTTCATCTGTTAAACCCTCGACCTCAGGTTCATCCCGGCATATGGACTTTGTTGATGTGTGTGTGTGTGTGTGTCTGTGTGTGCGTGTTCATGCTAAGAGACAAACAAACAATCTGCCACAACGCTGTAGATAGAGCATGAGGCCCTGGGCTATTTTTAACCTATTGTGCATGTGACCCCTGTTCTGCCGAGTTTGTACATTAATCATGCTTTGTGCTATGGACGTCCTTGCTTTATTTCACTGCGATATGCAAGATGTTCTGGTCCTGATTTTTTATTGATTACATTTTTTATTGTTTACATATATGTTTTATGGTCTGAAGTAAGTTACCTCTCCACTGCATGCTATGTTTTAACTTCTGATGTTATAACTGTAGGGTAACTACTTAATATGTAGTAGGGTAATAATACTCCATTCTGTTATGAGAAGAATAGTGCGGCTAGTCTTCAAATCAGAGTCTGGCCGTCCTATTCGAGTGGGGATCTGCTTTATATTTATTTAGGCACCAGCAGTGTATGACACACTGCGCAGATCCAAACCAACTTTGCCTCGAGTCAGTCTTATAAATCTAATAGGTAGTGAGTACTTTTATCCGCCAGTGATAGTCCGAGATCTTAACAACACGACTCTGATAGGATTGAGTTAAAGAAAAGGGATTTATTGATTACAAAGTGGGATGAAGCATAACGAAAAGGGATTTCTGGTCACATTTGAGTAGGAGTTGTACACATTTCATTCAAATTGAACATTTAACATGGAGCAGTCTTACTTTGGAGGAGCGTAGAGGATGGAGAAGGGCTTTGGGTTGGGAAACAGCCCACGTGGTTTCTTTGTCCGGGCAGGCGGGAGTTATGAAGCCTGCTAGTTTGGTCCAGCTGCTGGTGCACGCGAGCCAGGGAAAGAGGCTGGTGATGAACAGTTCGTAGAT